GTTGTTTAGAGTGTCCCAAATTGGTTGAGGGTATGGATAGAAATATGTAATCTAACATCACTACTCCACACAGAAATTGCTACTTATTATCGCATGAGAGTTATTTTACTTGGTTACCTTTAAAACTGTTTTTAACTTTCAAAAGTCAATCTCTTTGTCATTATCTTTCATATGCTGAAGACTATTTCTAGTCAGATCAATGTGCCATAGCAGAATCATAGAAAGTGATGTATTGGGATCTCTCTGTGATCAAGCACCTCTGGCCTAAATCCAAGATCTCAGGGGAAAATAAAGACAAAAGAGAAGTATAAAAGGAAAAAGAATTATAAGCTTCATGTGATATGCCTTTTCATAGTTTCACACATATAATGGTAGCCTGACATTTCTCTGTTCTGCAATAATATCTTTTTTTTTTTTTTACCTGGAATAAGTAAGATATATCCAACATACGTTATCGTTGACTTCTTCGGTTTCATTTATGTGGCGTTGTTTGGTTGGGTACGTATAGTTTTTCAAAGAAACACTGACTTTTGGCTCATATCAGAAAGTACTCATAGAACTTGTGGTCTTAAACATGCCATGATATTTCTATAGTTATAAGAGCATGTCATCAAGGGCAAAAATGAAAACTTTAAGAGTTCTAAATATAGAAAGGTGTTATTCTTTCCGGACAGACTAAAAAGGGAAGAGCACCATATAAAATGGAACAAAGGAAGTAATACTATTCAATTTAACGATGATTACTCCCCTTGATGTCGTCTCTTTCGATATATGCAGCTACATAAAGAAGCTGGGAAAGGTCAATTTGAAATTGGACTGGCATATACAGATTGTTTTAGAGCTGCTGATACATTAATTTATACACGTGAAGTCATCAGAAAAGTTGGAAGGAAATATGGATTTCATCCAACGTTTTTGCCAAAGTAAGTAGCAGATGTTTCCAAAATATTTTTAGGTGAAATTCTCTTCTCTACTAGTTTAACTAGATATGCTTTTGCTTCTTTTGAAGTGCTACCACAACCATGTTTTTAGTTCTGCTTTCTTTCTTGGTTTTATCGCAAAAAGCATTATGTATGAACTTTCTACTGCATGAGCGTAGTTCCTTTCAGTTTTTGACCATCTGTCCATTTCTGTATAGGTATTCGTTAGACGAATGGGGCTGTGGATCACATGTGCATATAAGTTTGTCCAAGAACGGAATTAACGTTTTTAAGGCATCTGACGGATCAAGTCAATATGGGATTTCCAAGATTGGGGAAGCATTCATGAGTGGGGTGTTAGATCATCTTCCTGCCATATTAGCATTTACTGCACCACATCCTACAAGGTTAGAGGTTTTTTATACCTATTAAGATTTAACTTATATGAACTGATGGTGTAAATAATACTTTTTCACACTACCAGTATAATTTAGTCGTGCGAAACCCTAAGTTGCTCCGACACGGTAATTTATGTGCCGCACCTGTGTCGACACGACACTAGTATGGGTGCGGGTATGGGATCCGTACCAGATATGGTCAAACGATTTTGTGTACTTTGACCATGGTGGACAGAAAAATTCGAGACGAGATACAATTTGATTCCAGAAATCAGAACCAAAACTAGGGTAAATTTGAAGAAAACAACATACCTTATCTAGGAAATTAATCCTTTACTTATCTACAACTTGAGAATAAAAAAAAAATCTACACTTTACAAGCTATACAGTATGCCACAAAAATTCTCATTTTAGAGATATTTTATATTTTTGAACTATTTTTAGCCGGATCCCGCCACCCGTATCCGTACTAGGATCCATATCCCCGAATCTTAGAATATACATCTCGAAGGATCCGACCTCTAGATCCGCACACGTGTCGGACACCCGCACCCGTATCCGAGCAACTTAGGCGAAACCTTAATTATTAATGTCATGCTTTCTTTTAATACTTTGGTAATTGGTTTAAAAATTCTCATTGAACCAAAGCTGCAGCACCATTGCCTCTAATCGAAAAGAGGAGAATTATAACTAATAGCAGCTATATCACTTCCTTTTTCCTTTTCTTTGATTGCTAGCATAATGGAAGACTTGTAATCTCATCACCTCAAATAATAATTTGTTTAACAGGTGTTTTTTTCCTTTTGTTAATTGTTTTTTTTTTTGGTAACGGTTTTCTGTTATGTTAATTCAAAGTTGCTTTGAATACTTGATCGTTCTTTTTAACTGTGCCTTATTTTGGTCACATTTTTTTGCAGTTATGAGCGCCTGTATTCTAAGGATTGGAACGGACGAGTTGTCAGTTGGCAGAAAGAAAACAATTATGCAAAAATTAGTACTTGTAGACTTCCAGGAGCTGATGTTGTAGGCCATTTTGTATGTCCTGCATTTGATGCATGTGCGAACCCATACTTGGGACTTGCTTCTATACTTACTGCTGGGATCGATGGCTTGCGGAAAGATTCGAGCCTTCCTGCACCAGTAGGTAAGTTAGACAATTATTTAGCAATTTTTCTCTTTATCGCATGATAATTTGCCTTTAAGTCTTTCTTTCCCTGAATTTTATGGTTAAGACTGGAATAAATGTCATTTCTGTTTGGATCAGCTACTTTCACCAATAGTATTGAACAAAGTATATTCTCTTTTTGATGTCACCAAAATATGTCCTTTAAGGATTGAGCTGCTTTCATCACAATATACATATTTTTTGATAACCGAGAAACCTCAGTGGAGCAAGGATCGAAACTCCGGTGGATGATGGGCTCGCCCTTCTACTCATCTCTACTGAAATACCAGTCTTGTGGCTACAGCGGGATTCAAATCCGCCTAACCCACACATCACATTGATGTCATCTATATAGGATAGTTGCCCTTGTATTCACTTAGCTGTAGGCAGAACAAATGAAAAATGGAAATAGAAATATGAAGCTATGGGCGTGCAATTTCATAAAAAAAGGAAATATAATAAACTTTTACCACACATTTAGTTTTCTTAGTTTGGTTAGAAACAAATAGGGCTAGGATTATTCTATTTTATCTACAAGTATTCTTGCACTCTCAGATTAACATGGCTTAAACCAACAGTGTAAATGATTTTCACACTATCGGTGCGTTTTAAACCTAGAAAACCTGCATTTTACTTTTCATATTACAAACGCACCTTTTATAGACGGTTATTTGTAGTTATCTTTTAGGTGGTCTGAAAATGTAAAAATTCTTTTACGTAGTGTATAGCAGTTAAGCTCTATAATACGTAGGCAAAAGTGCATGCTGTTTGTAAAATCTAATTTTGGTTCTCAGTGATTTTCTTGCTAATTCACTTGTCGAAGAAAGATTATATTCTGTTATCTTACATTCTACCTGTGTTTTTCTATGAAACAGATAGAGAGAGTCGTGTCAATCAAGAGGATTATCGAAGACTACCAGATTGTCTTACTGATTCTTTAAACGCTTTAGAGGAAGATACATTGTTTAAGGATATGATGGGTGAAAACCTCATGGTTTGCATAAAAGCAATTCGCAAGGTACGTTTCAAATTATGGTTTCTACAGTATACAAGGTGTATAGAATTCCTCTTTCTGCTGAAGAACTGGTTACTCCAGAAAAGGTTTATCAGGTATAATGAAATAAGAATGAATTGGCTCATCAGTTCATTGTATAATTCCTCTATGCAGTGATAGCGTAAAAAGGTATTATCACTTTTAGCCCGCGCCAGAAACTATTTACATCTGGTAGCCGAAAAAGTGTATAAAATTTGTATAATTTTATAATATACAGAATGTATATATATA